TCAAACCTAAACCCAAAACCCTCAACCCTCAGCCTCACCTGCACCGCTCCCCAGCTGCTTGAGCAGGTGGACTTCGGCAATACCGTGGCGTACTTCAGCAGAGCTTGAGTGAATTGCCGCGACTCCGAAACCCCAAGCCCTAGGAGGGTTTAGGTTTTAGGGTTTAGGGTGAAACGCTACCCCTGCGGATCCTGATGCCCATACCCCTTGCCTTTGGTCAGCGGCACAGAACTGCTCCTTGGGTGGGAGGGGGCAAGGAGTTGGAACAATCCCTACTTTCCAGTAGGTGCGGACTCGCTGACAGGGGTGCTCGCCCTTGGGGCGTGAGGCAGGTCTCCTAATCATCGCTGCTTGAAGCTTCAAGTCCTCAAAAATGTAAACGTCCGTATGATAACTGTGACCCCAGGACCATGATTATAGGAGAACTGCCCACATCTCGGATGGTGCCCGAAGGGCCATGCACCTGTGAGTCCACGCAGCAGGTCAGGCTGCTTACGGTTAGGGTTTAGGGTTTAGGTTGTAGGATTTAGGATTTAGGGTTTAGGGTTTAGAGGAGCCCCAAAAGGCCCTCGACGATTGAGTGGGGAGATGGTGAATCTCCCCTGGAGAGTGCTGGAGTGGCTTGGCCCACGGGCGAACTCCTAGAGACATTTGGAACCTCGACAAAGATGAGAAAAAGGTGCTTGTGCTTGTGCTTGTGCTTGTGCTTGTGCTTGTGCTTGTGCTTGTGCTGTGCGCGGGCGCGGCCTTTTCGGGTTGCATGGGACATATGCCGGTTGATCTAAGTTCAGTCCACCTGTGGCTTTGTCATTCACAGTTTGGGGTTTGGCGTTCAGAGTGCAGGCTGAGAGAAGGGCTTACTCTTAAAATGCCGACCGACCATAAATATGTGCCTGTGATGACCGACGGCAGCTGACGAATTTGGATGCGCAGCAGACAACATCGGACGAAGTCAGGAGCACATAACCCGGCGGGACGAATCGGACCAACCTTGGGGACTGCAGCGGTTATCGTTGGCATCATATACTCCACACTACAAACCCCCCCCATGCCAAAAATGCCGTCGGAGACCATTTGCGTCGCCACGCGATCGCGCCGAGCGCTCAAACTCGCCTCTGCTTGGGGAAGCGGCGCTGACAATATACCAGACGACGCCACTCCGGGGACCGGGCATGCACTCGGGCGCTGCTGTGGCAGGACTCCCGCTTTCGCCGAGCTGACGGCGGCCCTCCAGCGAGCTGCCAAACGCATGGAACGCCCGCTAGCGATGAACAGACGCCTCACGGCCCTTGTCAGGAGTGGTCTTGCATGCTTTAACCCCGGAGGAGGGGTACCTGCCATGCGGCAACCCAGTCCGCACTCCGCCATGCATACGGAGGGGCCGCGACGGCAGCCGCTGCGCAAACTTACACGACGCGCGCTTGCCGGCACCAGAGACCGTGTGCCGCGTCGCGTGCTGGAACGCCGTAGCCGCCGACAGCGCGCCCGCGCCGGCCATTTGACGACGGATGCTTTATCGGCAGACCCGTGAGCTTGAGCACGCTACACGACATGTCCCCCTTCATGTGAGCGCGGTGCGAGGGGCGTTCGTGCCGGCCTTGAAGCGGCTGCCTGCTGTTGCCGGCGACGCCAAGAGCTCCAGAGCATGGAAGCTTTTCTTTCTCGTGCCGCGCATGCTCTTGACGCGCCCAACACACCAAGGCTCTCAGGGCAGGCTCTCTCTCTCTCTCCCTCTTCTCCCTCTTCTCCCTCTTCTCCCTCTTCTCCCTCTTCTCCCTCTTCTCCCTCTTCTCCCTCTTCTCCCTCTTCTCCCTCTTCTCCCTCATCTCCCTCTTCCCTCTCTCTCCTCCCTCTCCTCTCTCTCCTCTCCTCCCTCTCCTCCCTCTCCTCCCTTCCCTCCCTCTCCTCCCTCTCTCCCTCTCTCCCTCTCTCCCTCTCTCCTCTCTCTCCTCTCTCTCCTCTCTCTCACCTCTAGGTTTTTTCTTCTCATTCTCTCCCTTCTTTCTGATTCTTTTATTCTCCCTCTTTCCTCCTTCTCCTTCTTCGCCCTTCTCCCTCTTATCCCCTCTTCTCCCTCTTCTCCTCTTCTCCCTCTTCTCCCTCTTCTCCCTTCCATTCTCCCTCTTCCCTCTCTCTCCTCCCTCTCCTCTCTCTTCCTCCCTCGCCTCCCTCTCTCTCCTCTCCCCTGCCTCCCCTCTCTCTCCTTCTCTCTCCCTCGCTCTCTCTCTCCTCTCTCTCCTCTCTGCTCCTCTCTCTCTCACCTCTCCTCAACCTCTCCCTCTCTCCCCTCTCTCCCGCTCTCTCTCCTCTCTCTCCGCCTCCTCTCTCTCCTCTCCTCTCTCTCCTTCTCTCTCCTCTCTCTCCTCCTCTCCTTCTCTTCTCCTCTCTCTCCTCTCTCTTCTCTCTCTCCTCCTCTCTCCCTCTCTGCCATCTCTCCTCTCTCTCCTCTCCGCACTCTCCTCCTTCTCTCCTCTCTCTCCTCTCTCTCCTCTCTCTCCTCTCTTGCTCTCTCTCTCTCTCTCTCTCTATACTCTCTCCCTCTCCTCCTCTCACTCCCCCCATTCCCCTCTTTTTCCCCTCCTCTCTTCTTATTCTCGTCTCTCCTCTCTCTCCGCTTCTTCCTCTCTCTCTCCTCTCTCTCCCTCTCTCTCCTCTCTAGCTCTCCTCTCATCTCCTCTCCCCTCTCCCTCCCCCTCCCTCACTCTCCTCCCCATTTTCATCTCCACTCTCCTTTCCCCCTCCTTCCCATCTCCTCCCCACCTCTCTCCTCCCCTCGCCTACCCCTCTCCTCCCCCTCTCCTCCCCCTCCTCCCCTCTAATCCCCTTCCTCTCCTCTCCTCCCCTCTTCTCTCCTCCCCTCTACTCCCCCCCTTCTCCTCCCCTCTCCTCCCCTCTCCTCCCCTCTCCTCCCTCTACTTCCCCTCTACTCCCCTCTCCTCCCCTTCTCCTTACCACTCTCCTCCCCTCTTCCTCCCCTCTCCTCCCCTCCTCCTCCCCTATCCCCTCCCCTCTACTCCTCTCCCTCTCACTCCCATCTCCTCCCCCTCTCTCCTCCCCTCTCCTCCCCTCTCCTCCCCTTATCCTCCCCTTCTCCTCCACTCTCCTCCCCTCTCTCCCTCTCCTTCCCCTCTCCTCCCCTCTCCTCCCCTCTCCTGCCCGCTTTACCCCTCTCCTCCCCTATCCTCCCCCTCCTCCCCTCTCCTCCCCTCTCCTCCCGCTATCTCCTCTCTTCCTATATCTCCTCGCGCTCTCCTTATCTCTCATCGCGCTATCCTCTCTCATCTCGCCTCTATCTCTCCTTATTCGACTCTCTCCAATCTCCTTTGTCATCCTTGATTACGCTGGTCTTCTCTAACACAAACTTCGCGGACGTCAAGCCGCCGGAAGCCCCGCACACGCGTTTTCAAGCACGATGGATCGCACGAGCACCTGGAGATCTGGACCGATCTTGACTGGGCGAGCCGCATCTTCCGTGTGGTCGTGTTCTGAAGGCCGCCACGAGATTGTGGCCCGGCATTTCATGAAGAAGCCGCAACAAGATGTTATCGTCGCGGGCCTGGCGCGTCGTTGCGCGAATCCCCAACCTTGGATGCCTTGCTTTCCGTTGTTCGTTTCGTCCGTGGGCGGGTGGGGGGTGACAGCAGGAAAGAAATCGCAGGCTAAGCGAAGCAGACACGGCAAACAATCGGCACCCAGGCACTAGTAGCACAGGCGGCGCTGTGACCCTCCTTTGCTGCCAGGGCTACTGTTCGCCTTAACATTCCTTGAAATGTTTTGATTCTCTTTCGTAATGGAAGAAGCGTACCACCATCATGAAAACGCAGACAACCAACCACCGGCAAGCATGCGAGCAAACAAACGAGAATGGCCAGCCGACTCCGCAAGCAAAGTCATTGAGGAGGGGCCGTCCAAAAGTGCCAACATGATTTCGCAAAAAAACTAAGAAAGCTGCATGAACCGCGTTCGGGAGCCCCAAAAAATGGGTTGCACAGGGACCAACATGGCGGGAAGGCTATTGCCCGCGCGTTTTTCATGCTGCGGCGGTTTAAGCGCATGGTCTTGTCTCGTGCGGTGCAACAATGATTTGTGCGACACTGAAGACATCGATTTGTGATGAGGTTAGGGACACGGAGCGAACAACATCGTCGCACGACAAATCTGTGCGAATCCACACAGTAAAATGCGAGGCATTCCAACGGCGGACGCGTTCCTGCAACTAGACGCATGGTTCGATATGATTCTCTATGACCCGTACGAGCAGGATAGAACACGATACCCCAAAGAATCTCCTGGTTCCACGGAAACGCTTGGCGACAGGGTCTTGCTCATTACCGAACAAAGCATTGTCGTCCGGCGTTTGCAAGACCCACGGCATCTGGCCTCACCTCACGCAATGCGGCTACTCAGCGTTTTACCGTTACCGCTGCTTGCATCGTTGCCGCCCCCGATCGGGTTCGCGAGCTCGATAGCACCACGCCTTCCGCAACGCATTGGGACCCATGAGTCGTTGGGGTTCGTGCTCAATCGCAATGGAACATAACCGTGTCCCGATACCTTTCAAACAACCGACAGCGCGCACTGCCAGGCATTCGTGAGCCATGGGGCCACGAACCGGTGGCTGCCGAAGCTGCATCGAAATAATTTTGGTCGAATCTGAGCACTCCGTGTGCGCGCTTCCGAGCCCGTGGAAAATTAGCCGCTGCGGATTTTCAATTTTTCACGAACAGTTTCAATGCGCGCACACAGGCACAACGAGTGCCTGCTTGCTGCATGTTGCATGAGGTGCGTGAGCCCCAGAACACGTTCTGTATGAAACAACAATAATATGTGTTCCCCAAAGTTCAAGTACAGAACGCCAGGCACAAAAGCAGCTGTGGTGAGAAGGTGCGACAACCTCTTCCAGCATGTATCACGAATGCTTCTACCAAAGCTTGACTGTTCTGGGCACATCGGGTTTCTGTTGCATGGGTGCTACCGGCAGCCGCGCCAATACGGGCCCCATGGAGCACGGCGATGGTTCCGCTGGGCCGGAGGACTGGAGGGGCATGGTGGAGTCCACCATCGGCCATTACGACCAGTATCTCCGCTTGGTTTGCGAGTTTTGCCGTTTACCCTAAACCCTAAACCCTAAACCACCGTTGTCCCTTGTCCTGAAAGGACCGTAGTCTTCGTGACTCGAACGGGCAAAGTGCAAAAGTGCAAAGTGCAAAGTGCCGTTTTGTGTCGTGTTTTGCATGTATATATATATATAGAGTTACACATATATATATACATATATACACGTACACACCCACACACCCACACACCCACACACCCACACACCCACACACCCACACACCCACACCCACCCACACACACACACACACACACACACACTCATGGAACCCCGCCCTCTGTCATCCCTATCTCTGTTCCAAGTCAAACCTGAGCGGCTCAGGCCGACGTATACCGACGTGGAGTGCTGGTCGGGCACTGATATCCCCCTCACTCGCTCAGCTTCGTTGGGCATGGTTTGCGAGACATTTGTGAGTGAGGGCCATGCCCCCCTGCTTGAACTGTTGGTAGACAGAAGTTGTAACACACACACACACACACACGAGCCACCAGGGCAACTTGAAACACAAGGCAACGTGACACTCAGGCGGCTGGTGTAAGGACGAAAAAGCCCTCAAGCAGTGAAAACTCCACCGGAATAGCTTCGGACCCGGAAATTGAAAAGAAAACGGGCTTTGCATGATGGAATTTTACCGTATGCCACCAAACAAAACAGGCACCCATAATGCTTCGCGGAGCAATTCGAGACGAAAGCTGCAAGCAAACGCCGACAAAAATTAATGAAAACTAAAAACAAACAGAATGGGTGGCGCATTCGGTTCGCGGGGCATGGTTTGCGAGACATTTGTGAGTGAGGGCCATGCCCCCCTGCTTGAACTGTTGGTAGACAGAAGTTGTAACACACACACGAGCCACAAGGACAACTTGAAACACAAGGCAACGTGACACTGAAAAGCTGTGACGTCCCTGGTCAGGCGGCTGGTGTAAAGACGAAAAAGCCCGCAAGCAGTGAAAACTCCACCGGAAAAGCTTCGGACCCGGAAATTGTAAAGAAAACGGGCTTTGCATGATGGAATGTGACCGTATGCCACCAAACCAAACAGGCATCCATAGTGCCTCACGGAGCAAGTCGAGACGAAAGCTGCAAGCAAACGCCGACAAAAAATAATGAAAACTAAAAATAAAACAGAATGGGTGGCGCATTCGGTTCGCGGGTCGTGCGTGAGCCTGCCGCAGCCCCGAAGCGCCTGTCCACAAGCTCAGCATCCACGGATCGCTGGTCTTACGAAACTGCCGCAGCCCCGTAATGCTGGCTACGAAAAAGAAAAGCAAACAAACCGCGGCTTGCAGCAGAGGCCGCGCAGGCGTGTGTCAGTGCTGGCTGGGCACTGATACCCCCCTCACTCACCTAATTTCGTAAAAAAATCCCCTCAGTTTGCGGGGGGTCTTAAATGGTGACCCTTCGGTGTCAGGGAACCAGGGGTCTGAAATGGGTCCAGAGGCATTTTAGACCCTCCCCGGCTTGCCATTGCAGACCTGTCGGTGTCGCGCTCTTTGGGCCCGGCTGTGGGTTGTCTTAGCCATGTTGCAGATGCAGTCCATAGCCAACAAAAGGTCTAAAATGGTTTGTCCGGGTTATGCCGTTATGCCCAGTCCCTGGGAAATAGCACAGTTGGGGCCAACAAAAGGTCTAAAATGGGCGCCCTAGGCCCCTCCCCTGACAACCTGAGGGGATGTAAAAAAAAAGTTTCGTTGGGCATGGTCTGTGAGTGAAGGCCATGCCCCCTTGCCTGAACTCAGACACACAGACACATGTACACACATACACACATACGCACGTACTCACGTACTCACGTACACACGTACACATACATGCATACAATGCATACATACATAAATACATACTACGCCACGTTGCACTCCCAGAAGCCAAGGAATGCTGCGTCCTTTTGGGCTGGCACCAAAGACCACGACGTGAGCCAAAATCGGGAAGCACTGCTGACTGCGATGGGGCATCCGTTGGAGGGCACGAAGGGGCCTGCATCACTGAAGTTGTTGAGGGATCTGCCGTCGTTGCCGTTGCAAGGTATTAGTGCAAGCTTGGTTTCAAAGCTTCCAGGCTCTCCAGAGAAAGTCCGCTAAACTCCAAGTACAATATTCTCGCAAGGCTGCAAGGACCAAACCATGAAAATAACCACAAATTATAACTCATAAGCCGATACAGCAACTACAAAGCTTGTGTTTTTTCTCGTACCTTTAAAACAGGTACCCCTTAGCGGCCCTTGTGGTGACAGTAACAAACGGGTGGCAGTCAGCAGACAGACCCCCCAGACCCCCAAAAAACCGCGGCAGGAAAGCAGATTTGGGGGGGGGGGGGTTTGTAATGTCAGCCTTACATGAATGTGCGCTCTCAGGGTGTGACCCTGTTGAACCTGAAAGGTCTTGTTTTGTGTATATTTCAATGAAGCAAAGAGGTTCACACCCCAAAGCCCCCTCCCAGGACAGTTCTGGACCTGGGTTGCGGCCCAGGGCGGGACATCGCCCACTTCCTGTCCCTGGGCCTGAAGGTGACGGGACTGGACGCCAGCAAGGACGATGGGGTTAATGTTTTTTCGTTTTTTTTTTAATCTCATTTTTTCCGATTGTTTTGAATATGAATGTTCAAAGCCATTGTCTGGAAACATGCACCGGCCTTCGTGCTAGTCGGCCTCCAAACAAGCCTGGAAATCGGGAAGTTTGAGCTCCAGCGAAGGAGTTTGTGCGAATGGCCCGGGAGCACACTGGGGCGGAAGTACTCCACCAGGACTTCCACAGGTCTGGGGGTTCAAGCCAAGGGTTTGTGTTCCGGTTTGCTGCATGTCTGCACGTACTCATGCACAGGCACACAAACATAATTTTGGTGCCAGATGAGTCACGAATTCTTTACATTACACAATCGCGCACCACGTACAGCCAGGCAGAGATGAGTTTGCATAAACCCTGTTGGCCTCAATGGGTCTTGAGAGTGTCCACCTCCGGCGAATCCCGTGGAGTACCCTGGTCATTCCATGGCTGCTAAATCCCATATGTGAGCCCAAAAGTGCAGTTGTTTTCATTTCAACTGGTTGTGCTATGAGTGTGTTCCTGCAATGTTGTTGTCGCGTTTGATTGAAAATTGAAGCAAGTTGTGTTACAGTTACAGTAGTTTCTAATTTCGATCTTGTTTTGAAGCTATGCGAGGCATACTCCTAGGGCCCAAGCCCTATGAGCCCTAACTACACCCCCTTTGGCAAGTATTTTTAATTCTTGTTCATACAAAACCCAACGGATATAAAAAACACTAATTTTATTAAGGTTCTAAGGGGAGTATCGCTAAACTTCAAAGCAAAAAAAAACAGGCTGGAGCTCCCGGCTTCCTACTTCCATGGCATCTTCGCCAACGCCTCTCTCTTTCACGTCTACAGACCTCACTTGCCCGCTGTCCTTTCAAGCCTTCACGATGCCATGATTCCAGGTGCATTGAGTGAGAGCAACCATTGTTATTTTGGTGTCATGTTGACTGCTTGGTTTATGAACCGGAAGATTGGTAGTAAGTGTACGATGCGTAGAGAAAGAGAGCACTTCTCCAAACCCCACTAAGCTGCAATAGTTTCGCTTCCATGTTTTTGCCCTCTCCTGAGGTGGCATCCTGTTCTCATCGAACCCCCGTGCCGATGAGGACACGGAGAACTTTTCGGGCAGGTACGGCTACTACATGTGCTACGAAACCTATGCCGCCCTCATGAGGAAGGCCGGTTTTGAGGAGGTGGGGCACTTCAGTGACTGGACGTGGCAAAACCTGTCATCATGAAAACCACCATCACAAAAACACACTTCAACTCAGAAACATCTTCCGTGATAGAGATAGCCAGCAGCATTGCCAATGATAGCCTCAAGGAGTGTTGAAGTAATGTCAGTATAGTTTACCCAGAGAGCCCAACAATTACACCCCTTAATCAGGAGATACACCTTCAATCATACTAAGGATCCCCATATATGTATATATATATATAGATATATATATATATATATTAACGGTTATTCCTTCCGTAAGGGATCCAGGGCTCTTTGGGTTTAGGGTTTTTGTTTTGGGTTTGGGGTTTATAGGGTTTAGGGTGTAGGGTGTAGGATTTAGAGTTTAGGGTTACCGGGTTTATGGTTGCCACAAGCACAAGACTCTGGAGGTGGGCCATTTCTACAGGCCGTCAGGAAAGCCGAGGCACTTGCAGCCGTGGCTGGCGTCCACTTGGCGGAAACCCCGGTAGTTCAGTCACTTAGGGTTATAGGGCTTAGGGCTTAGGTTTAGGGCAGGGGCAAGAGCAGGGCATAGTTTTTTGCAGTTGCCTCAAGACCATGGTCGGCCAGCTAAGTTGCAAGGCGACAAAAAGACTCGGCCAGCTGGGATTGCGTATTTGCCTATCCTCCTCAGGGTGAGGGTTTACGACGGCAATGAATGGAACCCCTAATATTGTGTATAGACCCCCAAATAGTAAGATCCCCTTTTCTTCAGGACCAGGAAGGTATCCCTAATAATGTTGTCTGCTGATTAGTGTGGCCCCACCCCCCCCCCCCCCCCCTCAACGAAAGGATCCCGCTCTTTAGAGGGGGGGGGGGGGGGGGGGCAATTTGGGGGGGGGGGGGGGTCTGGTTTTATATGATTTTAAAAGGGATGAGTTTATATGAATTTAAAAGGGATCCATATGATCCATATGATTTTAAAAGGGATGAGCTCGCATGAGTGTAAAAGGGATCCATATGATTCTAAACGGGTTGAGACTATATGAAATTAAGAGGGATCCATACGATTTTAAGAAGGATGAGGTTATATGAATTTAAAGGGGATCCATCTATCCCAACCAAGCCAGCCCGCAAAAAAAAATATAATTCCGGGGGAGCAAACTTTTTATCTTATACGGCATCCGGGCAGCTTCTGGACTACCCCCTTTGAAATTTGATTGCCCGGCCTCGGTACAAAAGAATTTTATAAGGAAATCTTAGTTTTGGGTCGGGCCTGGAGGCTGAAGATTTCAGGGCCCGACAACCTCAGGCCTCAAGGTTTAGGAAACCTCAGCCCTTAGGCCTCTGGATCCAAACCCAACTAGCCCGCAAAAAAAAATATAATTCCGGGGGAGCAAACTTTTATATTATACGGCATCCGGGCAGCTGCTGGACTACCCCCTTTGAAATTTGATTGCCCGGCCTCGGTACAAAAGAATTTAATAAGGAAATCTTAGCCCTGGGCCCGGCCTGGAGACTGAAATTTTCAGGGCCCGACAACCTCAGGCCTCAAGGTTTCAGTCTTTAAACTTTTGATCTTTGGTCTCTCAGGCTCGGTTCAGAAGCGATTTATGGACGACAACACCAGTCGACAGCCTCGCCGAAATTTTGCATCGCCCGATTTTTTTTCACAATTCCGGGGGTCCTCCTCAAATAGATCCCCCTGAATAATTTTTGGATTTTTTTCCACAATTCCGGGGGAGCACACTAATCAGGATACAACATTACAAAACACCATGTGCTGACTTTGTCATAAAAAGGTCTGGGTCTCCACTCTCCACTGTAGGGCCCCCTGATCTCGCGTCGACATACCGGGGTTTAGGGCTTAGGGTTCAGGGTTTTTAGGGTTCAGGGTGGGAGGGGGGGGGGGGCTGGGTAGTCTGAATTTGCTTTCTGCGGAAACCGATGGTAAAAAGTATCGACCTGGCAAGGGTCGCATGGCAGTGCATGTGATGAGCTCAGTGTAGATCATGTTGTGGGCCACGCTGTCTAGAAACCTCACTCGGATTTGACAGCATCTTGGCTGCATGTTTCAAACGACGGACCATGACAGAATTCTGTTAACGCCCAGCTTCCTCAGCGGTGCATCTGATACCGGCACATCGCGAGCGATGTTGTTTTGGAGCTTCCCACCCGACCGACACATCACAACACACCCGGAACCAGCAGCACCGGTGCCATCACGTCGGGAAAATTGGCTGAGTTCGTTCTTAGTCTTTGTTTCATGACGCCATGGCCATCAGCGATACCCAGATCCAGGACGTCGGACTTTGCTGGTTTAAGCTGTTGTTGGCGGGTTGCATGCGTAGAGTTGAATGCATCGCATGTTTCTTGCCCGCATGTCATGCTGACCTGCGACAACTTCTGCTTGATGACACAGTGCAGTGATGAGATAATTACGCAGAACTACATTACATTTTATTTATTGGGTATATAGCTGCTGCTTGTGCGAACAGTAATTCTCATTGGCAGCACGCATCTGTGCATGTCCAGGAGGAAATGCTGGCCGCCATTACGGCCAAAGCATTGCCAGTCGTCGCTGCCGCGTGCACGGAGGCAGTAGAGCAAGACTCGTCCCAACTTCAACATTCTCACCTTTGCGGAATTTGTAGCTAGCGAGAAGCTCTGACCAACAGGTGTGTTCACGACACCTGGCGGCACTACACCAGCAACTGCAGCAGCTGCGTGTTCTGCAGCAGCAGGCAGGACCATTCGTCCGGCAACCAGAACAGGATGGCTGCGGAGAGGTTTCCATCGTTCTTCTTCCAAGCGAGGGTTTGTGGAATCCCTGGGCAGGTGCAACAACTTCAAGCGCAGGCTAGTTTTCAGGCAGGAGAGTCTGCAGCATTGGCCGAGAATCATGAGCCTTTCTCAAAAATGTGTACCTGAACCCCTAAAACCTAAACCTAAACCCTAAACCCTAAACCCTATTGGCCAGCCAGGCCCAGGACCAGCGCCAATCGTGGCCGGCAGCAAGGCAGGTGGTTCCGAGGGCGCAAGGGGAGTTTACATACTTGGAGGTTCATGGTACTTATTAACCAATTGTAACTGTACTTATGACTGTACTTGTAACCCTATGGGGGGCACTTAAGGGGCTTATATGTGGGCTCTAAGTACAGTTATAAATTGGTTCATAAGTACCATGAACCTCCAAGTAGACCTGCATGTCCACCTTCGGTTGGTGCAACAAATAGGCTGCAAATCGGTTGTGGTTATAGCTATAAAGTAAGAATAGAAATCCCCCCAAAAAAACGCATTGCAATTGTGCCCCTAAACCCTCAACCCTAAACCCTAAACCCTCAACCCTAAACCCTAAACCCTAAACCCTAAACCCTAAACCCTAAACCCTAAACCCTAAACCCTAAACCCTAAACCCTAAACCCTAAACCCTAAACCCTAAACCCTAAACCCTGCACCCGCGCCTTGGGCTCAGAGGGCCCTCTTGGCTTCGGAGGAGCAGCCGGTCGGCCTCTCCGCTGCGGCGCGCGCTCGAGATGGGAGCTTACTGACAATTGTGCTCGGGGAACTTATAGTGAGTAGGTTAGGGTTTATAGGGTTTATAGGGTTTATAGGGTTTATAGGGTTTATAGGGTTTATAGGGTTTATCGGGTTTATAGGGTTTATAGGGTTTAGGGTTTAGGGTCAGACGGTTATAAGTCAGGCTCTTTTTTACTTCGGGTTAGAAGGCCACAGATAGGTCAGAAGCCCCACAGATAGGGTCCACGTTACTCTTCACGTGCGACTGCAACATGTGTCTGTGTGAGTGAGTGGGTGCGATTTGCCGGTGGCTGGGCAGAATTCAGGTTTACAACGAACTCCAACACCGCCTTGCCGCTGAGCCCGGACAGATTCTTGCACTGTGAGTGTTCTCCAGTTGGGCTTCTGGCTTGGCATCACGCTTAGTTGTGTGGTTATGTCCCACTGTCAACATGTCCTGGCCATTACCCATGCAGGAACTGGATGCATCGCCGTTCAGCGGACACCTTAATCAACATTGTGCTTCACGTTCATGCCATGCCCTGTGTCCACGGCCCAACTCAACTTTTCCCAGGCTTGCGGAGCAGACAAATGAAAAAATATGGTCAGTTCTCGAAATGATTGTCCCTTTTGGGGGGCCCTAAATATTACGGGTCGCCTTATGACAGTAACCCGAAAAGGGACCCTAATTTCGAGAAATGACATGAAATTACCATATCGCTGTGCATGTTTATTTGCTCAGGTCTGAGCGGTGGGTTGACTCCCATGACACCGCTCCCGGAGACGGACGGCACTGATAAGGTCGAAGATTTGTTTCTGAGGGTAAGCTTCACGGGCCCTTAATATGGTCCCTAACCTCCTTCAAAGGTTCCTGATGTATGGGCCCTTCATTTGTATAGGGTATATACGGGGTATATACAGGGCACCGCCATACTATGGGACCGATGTTTGCAGATGTATGATTTAAAGCGTTTAAGGTATGAGGAGCCATTTGCTGATCCTGACCTTGGACCTTAAGAGGGTGTCCACATCCCAAACCAGGGATCATAGCGGCATGGGCCATCTGACCCCTACCCGTAAGCCTCATGTGGAATGTGCTACACCCTAGCGGGTATATGATCCCCGGTTTAGGGTTCGTTTAATCCGAGAACCGGGCAGGTTCTGCACGTCATGAAGCGCGTGCGAAGTGCCGTGAGACGGTCGCCATCGCCTCGGCAAGCACTGCGCACGATCTTGCCTTCGGTACTTGGAGGTTCAGGGTACTGATAACACCAAGTACACCTGTACATATACGCCTCCGAGGTCCTGCAATTAAGTTCGACGCGGATGTGGGAGGGTTGGGCTGATCTGCGGGACTCCAGTAGTGTGCCCGGGGGTCCCCCTGCTCCCAATGAGGACAGGAGTCGGGGCCCAACAAACCGGGGTTTGAAAGCCCAAGTTTCGAGAGTCGGTTTGCCTCAACCTGCCTTCATTCGTATACTTGTCGCTTAAGAACCCCCGAAAAACTGAAAAGTAAAATTCCCTGTATTGCCCTTGGAGGGACGAGATGGTTTTCATTTTTTGGGGGGGTGTTCTGAAGCAAGTAGTAGTCTTGTGGTGCCCAGGCGTCAGAGCCCGGACCAACTTTTCAAGCGATTTTGCAAAGCGGGCGGCTCTGGCGTGACTTGATTGCAAGAGCTCAACGCATCCTCAAGCTTGAAGCTTCACTCGTCATGCACGTCTCTTGAGATTTTGGACCCCTAAACCCTAAACCCTATAAACTCTAAACCCTACCTGGCTCCAACATAGCTCCTTTTTGGGTTGGTTAGAGGGGAGTCTAGTCTACCACCCCAACGAGGTACTACATCGGAGCCTTCGGGTAAAGTGCAAACCCTAAACCCTAGACCCTAGACCCTAAACCCTAAACCCTAAACCCTAAACCCTAAACCCTAAACCCTAAACCCTAAACCCTAAACCCTAAACCCTAAACCCTAAACCCTAAACCCTCAGCCTGGCTGCCATGAACTGGCGG